TCCCTGCTTGGCGGGAAGCCTGCTTCTCCCTCTCCCACTCCCCCTGCTTGTGTTCCCTCTCTCGCTGTGTCTCTCTCTGTCAAATAAATCAATAAAATCTTTAAAAAAAAAAAAAATTTAGGGGCGCCTGGGTGGTGCAGTCAGTTGGGTGTCCAACTCTTGGTTTTGGCTCAGGTCATGATCTCAGGTTTGTGGGATCGAGCCCTGAGTTGGGCTCTGTGCTCAGTGCGGAGTCTGCTTGAGATTCTTTCTTCCTCTCCCTCTGCCCCTCTCCCCACTCTCTCGCTCTATCTCTCAAATAAATAAATAATTCCTTAAAAAAAAATAAACAAAAATTTATTTAACATATGCTGTCTTCAGAGGGACTGAAAACTAAAAACATATTCAAAATTCCCCAAACTATAAGTATTAAAGAAATTTAAATAAACTTTAAGTGTTTATTTTTTGATATATTGATAGCATTTATACTTTGAAAGTCATTAAAAAGCTTAAAACTGCACTAAGAGTTTTGGGGCACCCCATAATGAACACAAATCTACTTCTGTGTAACTTTGACACATTGGTCAAAGTTTTGTCATCTAAATTAAGAAAGATAAGTTTAATTTCTCTTACAGTTTACCCTCAAATATTTATATAGTTTATATTCTGTATATATAGTCTCCTCCAGGCTAGATATCCTTGGGCTAAATATTTTTTATCTTATACATTTCAATAAGCTTTTTATATTATTGACCTCCTATCATTGCTGTTTTAAAATATTACACCTGGAAATGGAAACACTTCTGTACACAGGCTGATTTTTTTTTTTTTTTTTTTAAGATTTTATTTATTTATTTGACAGAGACGTGGAGAGAGAGAGAGCACAGATAGGCAGAGCGGCAAGCAGAGGGAGAGGGAGAGGGAGAAGCCGGCTCCCCCACTGAGCTGGGAACCCGACGCGGGGCTCGATCCCAGGACCCTGAGATCATGACCTGAGCCGAAGGCAGACGCTTAACCAACTGAGCCACCCAGGCGCCCCTGTACACAGGCTGATTATTGTGCACATTTCTTCTTACAGGGTGCTTTATATTTACAAGGGTTTAAGGTGCCATCTCGTACCAGCTTGTTTTGGCCTATAGTCACACCTTCTCTTCTTCTTCAAAGTCTTTTCTTGAGCTCCAGCCTATAATTGTGTGTTTCATTTTTTTAGTAATCTTTTTCATTTTTGTGGTATAAAACACATAAAATTTACCGTCTTAACCATTTTTAAGTGTGCAGTTCAGCAGTGGTAAATATATTCACATTGTTGTGCAACAGGTTTCTAGAACTTCTTCATTTATTGAGCATTTAGGTTTTAAAATTTAATTGTAGACCATATTTGTGTCTATTAAATTTTAGCTTGCTAGTTTTAGCCTAGCATGAGATCCTTTGGAAACTTTAATTTGATCATATAGTAGTACTTGACTATTAGAGTGGTTATTGCTCCAAAGTGATAGACATACGTAATTTGTATGAACTTCCCTTTTATGTCCTTATCTAAGTTTTAATTTAAAAGATTGATCAGGGGATGCCTGGGTGGCTCAGTGGGTGAAGTGTCAGACTCCTGATCTCAGCTCAGGGCCATGAGTTCAAGCCTTGCATTGGGCTCCACACTGGGTGTGGAGCCTTCTTAAAAAAAGAAAGAGAGAGAGAGGGAAAGAAGAAAAAGGAAGGAAAGAAAGAGAGTGAGAGAGAGAGGAAGGAAGGAAGAAGAAAGAAAGAAAGGAGAGAGAGGGAGGGAGGGATTGATCAGGACCAAAGGAATCAATATTTGTTCATCTAATTGTAAAAGTACATAGAACCCAAAAAGGCTAAATTTTTAGTTCCCTTCCTTTCTTTCTATACTAACTGATAATAACTTATTAATTAATATTATTTGTAGTTATTTGGATAGTTATGAATTCACCTACTTATACTGTCATCAACCATTTTTTCTCCACTTTATCCATGATGGATATAAGTATCAAATTCCTCACTAAAATCAAGATACATGTTATGATTTCCTGGTCTAATAACCCTCTCAAAAGAAAATGTTTTGATAAAGCTGGTATGATTTATTCTTATTGCACCTGTGTTGGTTTCTAATGTTCACTATATTTCTTTTTTGTGTTTTTTTTTAAGATTGTATTTATTTATTTGACAGAGAGAGACACAGCGAGAGAGGGAACACAAGCAGGGGGAGTGGTAAAGTAGTAAAATAAAATACAGGAGTAAAAATAACCATTTAAAAATATGAACGCCATTCCTGGCTCAGAGGCTATACAAAAATAGGTTGTAATTTGCCAGCCTCTCTTTAATTTATTAACAAAATCCTTGATAGTTTATAACCTCTTTAAAAAGAATAAATATAGGGGTGCCTGGGTGCCTCAGTCGTTTAGCGTCTGCCTTCGGCTCAGGTCATGATCCCAGGGTCCTGGGATCGAGCCCCGCATCGGGCTCCCTGCTCAGCAGGAAGTCTGCTTCTCCCTCTCCCACTCCCCCTGCTTGTGTTCCCTCTCTCGCTGTGTCTCTCTGTCAAATAAATAAAAAAGAAAAAAAAAAGGCAAA